GACAAAATAAATGGTTGTTCAGAATTATTTAAAGAGTGCACAGTTTCATTGAGGAGCCTGAAGTCACCGTAGTTTAATTTTCAGTTTTTCATTAGTTTCGTTTATATCTAATCTTGGGAAAGCGCGTCTTCTAAGACGACATAGTAAACAAATGAAGTTTATGTTCGCTGCCCGTGCACACTTATTCCACACCTTTGAAATTATGGAGTGTACAACCACGAACGCGGAATAGAGAATCAATCTATAGGCCTACATTTATTATATATTTGGCAACGTGGAAACGCGTGTGTCACTTTTCTCTCAAGATTTGTTGCTCCATTCCAGTAGAGTGTAAATATAGAAGGCCAATGACTTTCTGTTGATGTTAATGCACCGATCATTCCTTTCTTCAAAAGGGGGCCCAACTAGTATTGTATATAATATGTAGATCTATTCTGAATCATCTGACACATTAATTACATCTACGATATGAGTCGCCTGAGATATGGTCTCTGAAAGTTAACTTTAAAATAATACTTATGTAGAAAGCAAAGACACTTAAAACTATTTTCGCGCTGTTTTGGAATGTATCGGTACTTGCGAAATGGACATGTATGAATATGAAATGAATGAAAAATATTAGTCTTTGAAATGAACGATATTCCATTGCGATATTTTCCACACACACACACACACACTAAAACACATACACATACATACATACATACACCTACTCACACACAAAACGGCAATTTCAAACATATGAAACAGCTCTTTCATCTGAGTCAAACAAAAACCACTATCATTTTTTCTCCATGCCTTTGATCAGTACATCACTCACGCTATGTCGGTCCTGGAATCCCTAGACAAGATGCTGATAAACACGCAGTGGACATGGGACGCACTGGTCAAGGTTATGAAACGTAAGACCTGTGTCTCTTATAACTTGGATATCTTGACCAAATGAATGTTTCGTTCCTTTGTTTTAATGTGATGTCATAAGCATTTTGGGAGGTACTTCTTACAAGCTGTTTTTAACGGTGTTTTCGCCCTTATCCACATATTTAGATCGTTTATGACACGGGTCTCAGTTCCAACCCGGGCTGAGAAGGATACAACGTCCAAGCTGAAAGACCGAGATGCTCGATTTAAGAAAATTCTCCCCACAAAGGAATCGAACACAGGTCATGAACGTACGACTGCAAAAGCTGCTTACTGCTACACACCAGACTCCAGTCTGGACGGTACATGCAGCAGTATTACTATCAAATGTGTCACAACGATGTGGAATCAGGTGCTCGTCAATTTTTGCAAATATGAGATTATTGGTTTCATCTTAAAGCTTGTTCATTTGTCTTGCTTTCGATAAAAGAATTTCCCTTCTATCTTCATTGGAAGTCAAAATATTTTGCATTGAAGGAGATGGGGTCACATGGTTTCAGAGGTAAAACTAGCAAGACAAGGACTGCCAAGGTTTGGTGACTTCCACAGCTTGAGAGTCCTTGAAAACTGCAAATTTGCATGTAAGCTTTAAATTTCATGATTTTGACGAACGTCATATTTCACCACACTGCCTCACAAATTTGTGGATGAAATGATGTTGTAAATAGAATTCCTCTATTATTTGTTGATCGTGATGTGTAGGATTGTTAATATTTTCGTCCCCTTCAACACAATTTAGAACGTTTTTAGGACTGGCAGCTTCAAACCCGTCTGCCAGGTTCGAGGCTGTCTGAGTGTGATACAAAACCTCAGCTAACACACGCTTTCCCACTCGGGAATCAAACTTGCCCCCTCTGCGTGCAAAGGCGTAGAGGCTAGTCAGTGCACCACAGACACTTCAAGTGTTGTAGAAACTGGTAAGAGGTAAATGTCTTGCCCCAATCAACACTATTAGGTAATTAAGAGACGGGACCTCCAAATTTAACGCCCGTCTCCGATAGGATCGAGCCAAATGAAAACTCCACAAAACGACCTGATTTTAAGAATCCCCAATCTGGGTTTCCAACCAGAGGCATCCACTGCATAGTCCAGCATGAGATCAACTGAACTAACGGGCACCCGTCGAAGAGACTAGTTCACCGATAGCGGCATAAAGTTACTTGGTAATGAGGAAGAAAATGCTTGCAAATCTGGAGACGGTAGATTAAGTAAGGTGTGAATGGCTCATCAGTAAATCCAACTAAATTTACGTTGTGGATATAGAAAATTATGGTACCTTAATGGTGAACGAAGTTGTGTGCAGAGATGGTGGATACGTGGTTTAGCAATAGATGGATACTGTTCATCATGAATTGTGGAATAAGATGAGCTCATCAGGGCGTCATTGAAACTGTCTTGTAGATGTGGAGGCTTGTTCATTAATTAAACTGTGGATAGAGAGACATACATGGGCAACTTTTTGTAAAAGTAAAGGAAAGACTAACTAAAACCATTCAAATATTTGAAAAATGGACAAAAGAATATTAGATAAAGATCCGGAACGGAATGGTAATCGGGATATATTTCGGAGGCCTTGTTTTAGAGCACTTGCTTTGTATAGAAAGGGTGCTTTTAACGAGAGATAAGTCCGTTGCAAGAGTGAAAATATAATATTTTACTTCTTTCTGATATGGTATTATCCTATACATTGTTTTTAGCATATATATCATCCATCCGAAAGTGTAATCAAATAGATTTGTCTTCATTCGCGTTTTAAGTCCCCCAACAACTCCCTAAAAATTAATCAACCAACCAACCAACAAACCAACCAACGAAACCAATCAATCAATCAATCAATCAATCAATTGATCCATTAATCCATCAACCATGCAAACAAGCAAGCAAGAAAGCAAATAACCAACCAACCAACCAATCAATCAATCAATCGGTGATCAAACAACCAATCAGTCAATCAATCAATCAATCAATCAATCAATCAATCAAAGGAAACAAAATCAAGAACAATCCCCAAGTACACTAACCTGAGTACACCTTTTCCCTTGAATGTACCGTTCTCAGCCTATCTTTTGTTCCTTTTCAGTGTTTGTGCAGCTTATGTCAGACATCTCTGACTCCATGCTGAACTTGTGTGACCTTCAACCTGACATCAATTTCTGTCTGCCAAGAAACGTAAGTCAAATATCAATACTGGTTAGACATTGAAATTTGCCCATGTAACTGTAGATGCTTTAAATTACAATAATAGTAATGTAGATTATTCTATTGCACCTAACTCCTAGGTGAACAAAATTCTTGGCACTTTACATTTACTCGTAAATGCGAGTTCAAATTCTTTCTTGAACAACACTGTAGAAAGTGTGAAAAATTAATGTTTTCTCATAATACACATATGGCAACACACACACGCACCCGTACTCACACACACAGACAGACACACAAGCACACTCACACATAAACACTCTTACACACTAACACGCACAAATACACACCTACGCGCGCGCTCGCAAGCCATTCACACACACACACACACACACACACACACACACACACACACACACACACACACACACACAAACACGCACGCGCGCGCGCGCACGCACACATCATCATCATCATCATCACTGTTTGGAAAGAGGAGTAGGAGGGAGAGTCTTGTTTGAATTTCAGACAAAATAGCATTACAAAATAAAATGTTCAAAACTTGTTTAATAGACGCAGCTCAACGTTTCACTGCTTGGGTTTCCTCCTCCTCCTCCTCCTCATCCTCCTCCTCATCCTCATCATCATCATCATCATCGTCGTCATCGTCTGCAACAGCAATAGCAACAGCAACAACAACAACAACAACAACAACAACAACAGCAAAAGCCTATCTAAAAAAACAACCAAACCAAACTAAATTGAATCCCCCATGCAGATGGAGGACACATATGCTACGATGGAATCCTTTCTGTGGTCCTTGGGTACAACGGCTGTTCCTATGGCGCCAAACTCTGGAGTATGGGCCTCAGCTAGCGCGGGAATCTTCGCTTTTCGATGTCACGTGATCTGGTCGCCTTTCCCAGAAGAGCTGAGTGATGACGTAGCGACTGTGCGGCTTCCACAAAATCTCGAGACAAAACTGGAAAAAGGAAGACTCGGTGTACTGGTAAGATACACTAAGATAGATAAGTCTTCTCATAAAATGTCCTGCGTAAACCAAACATCACATATTCAGTAGGCAGACATAATTGTTATTTTTTTTTGAGTAAACAGACACAGCAATACACTTATGGTCATTTAATGTGGGGGAGGGCGGGGGAGTAAGATAGGCAGACAGAAACAACAGAGAGAAAGAAAATAAAGAAAAACCTAAGGATTAAAAGTCATCAGAATATGTTCCGTGTTTCATGACTATGGGCCATAATCCTTTTGGTGTCAACTTCTAATTCCATACTTATTTCAACTTAGAAGATTCACACATTCGAAAAACCTAATCGACACAAGATCTTACAAGATTCATAATTTCAAATAAGACAAAGCATCCACACTTAATTCTATTTCGACGTTTCATAATTTCAAATATCAACAATATTCCTCACGTAATTTGACTTATCAAGTGATTCACAATTTAAGAGAACACAAACCTTAAACACCTAAATCAACTTAGAAGAAGATTCACAATATTCCAACAAAAATAAACTTCCTCACTTAATTCGACATAATGTTCACAATTTCAAAGAACAGACACCTTCAACACTTATTTCGACTTCGAAGGTTCACAATTTCAAAGAACTCAAACCTTACATCAGCTCCAGAGTTACCCGGGAGACGGGGGACGTTATGAGCACCAGATCTTGGATGTGACCGACAACAGCCGGACTGCGTTTGTCAGGATGGTCACCGAGCAACGCACCGACCTCGTGTTGGACCCCGGCGAGACGTTTCAGGTCACCTTCAAACCATTTGACGACTCTGAACTGGATAGGTAATAGGGGATTTTACTGTGCGTTTCTTTTTGCTTTTTTTTTTGGGGGGGGGGTGAGGGTTGGGTTTTTTCGTCTTGACAGACTCATTGTTTTCAGCGCATAACGTTGATACTTGTTTTGATTTGTATTGTATTGTTTTTCTTCGAATTTAGAGTTATATAATCCCACACTCAGGGATAAAATCATGTTTTTCTTCTAATTTGTCAATACAAGTTGTCTTTTTTTTTTTACACATTCTGTATGAGAAATAAAAACAACTTTGTTTCAAACTGTTTGGCATACTCATTTGCACTAAGGAAATGTAGATAAAAAGCACTCCTTTCAGGGGTGTAGAAGTATGAAAAAAATTGAAAAGCCAAACAGAATGGGTCTGGGTGTAGGTAAACATATATACCGCTTTTAATCAAATATAAAGCTCATCATTGCACAAAATGCTACGTGCAGAAAAGGAATGTTCACGAATCCTTTGTGCCAACGTTACTTTCTTAGACCCATGAAGATGAACATCACTGAGACAGACCAACAGCTGTTCTCTCTGTCCGTGGCTGGCACGGGCCGGACCACACTCGTCTTGGTCGTTGATCTGAGGAAAGGTTACAACACGACGGTCGCTGATGCTGACCAGACAACAACCGACACTGACCCGCTCTCCGCGTCATCCAAGTTCCTCTGTACCTCCCCGTATCTGACTGGGAAGATGATTCTAGTGAACGAGGTAGAGGATGGGGATGTGGACCCGGTGCAATGTGTGACGGCAGGAGGGAAGATAATGGTTCACATCGAGGACGCTGCTAGCAAAATGGACAGACTGGAGTTTGTGGTTGTCTATACCCTCGGGGATGAGAACCATGGAGAATTAGAGAAACACCTGTCTACAATTACAAAACGTTCGGGTATGTTGTATATTCTTAATCTGTAATTGCATGTGTGTATGTGTGTGTATTTGTGTGTATTTGTGTGTATTTGTATGTGTGTGTGTGTGTGTGTGTGTGTGTGTATGTGTGTGTGTGTGTATTATGTACATGGGTGAATTTACATGTGGTATTTAAACAGAAATATGATTATGTCAATCACTTCAACTGCTCGTATATTTATGGGTGTATGAATGTGTGTGTGTGTGTGTGTGTGTGTGTGTGTGTGTGTGCGTGCGTGTGTGTGTTTGTGTGTGTTTGTGTGTGTGTGTGTGTGTGTGTCTGTGTGTGTGTGTGCGTGCGCGTGCGCGTGCGCGTGCGCGAGAGAGAGTGCGTGCGTGTGTGAGTATTTATTTCTTTGTATGTGTACCTCTGTAAGTACATAAGAGGGTTCCGGATCATTTTGGCTGTAGTAAAGAAAATAGGATCAAGGAAAATTTGAAACTGGTTTGTGGGGGAGTAAAGGAAGGGTACTGTGGTAAGGTATGGACTCAGTTCAAAACAGCTTTATGTGCTGCTCAGAATCGAAAGCTCCGCATCCTGGACTCCTTCGTGAAGATCATCAGCGTTGCAGTTTCAGACTAAAACTCCCCAAAGAACCTTGTTCGATATCGCCCCGTTTGGGAATCGAACCTAGATCTTCCACTTCGTTCAACACGATATCAACTGAACTATAGGATTGTATATATGAATAATCATTTGTTCTGATCCATTTCCTAAAATATAGAAGCCAAGACATTCTTGAATTGTCAGAAAATGACGGAGCAGACTCCAGTCTACCACACTCGACACAGTAGCTTTTGAAAATATATTTTTCTCTTCCAGTATTTGGCAATTTTTCAGTTGGTCATCGTAAAGTCTCATTCAAGAAAAGCTTTTCATCGAGAACAGTTTCATTGAGAATATGTTCGTCAACGAACGTTTCATCGATGAGCGTGTCTTCGTCGAACACGACAGGGAAGTCTTTCAAATCGTCGGACACGGTGGATATCCACACGTATTTCCTGGGCATGAAAAGCTGGAGTATCAGTGAGATCATGTGGGAATCTCTTTCTGGCATACTGGTAGGCAAAATTATCATATACATCGTATTATTACTCTTTGTGACTTTTTGTCTTTGCTAACTATAGAAGGGGAGAAGCATCTCACCTTTACTTTGTTAATAGTGGTTCTAAAGGGTGTTGTACGTTGAGTCTATGCTCATGCTATACACATAGAATGGGCCCAGAGAAAAATGAAAGCAGAGAACAAGAAGGTTTCAAACTCATACGTTTCTTCGAGACTTAAATTCATGTTTTAAAGCATTATCATTGTATGCGAAATCCACGACAGCAACAAAATATAACCATATAATTCTTTTGCAATGTCAGGGTGGTAGTACTTATCATAAACCTCGAGTAAAATATTTCTACCTCAGGGAATAACGATAAAGTTGTGATGCATATTGATTGTCTCAGAGCTCTTTCTTAACGACTTCAAAAAGTCTAAATTAACTCTTTGGGGACGTAATGGACACAGGTATCCTGTCAGCAACAAACCAATGGTAATGTTGCGGTGTATTTCAAACCATTATACAGAAATCAGAAACACGACTTTGGACTTTTCATAGAATACATGTTCTTGCCTGACTTTATGAGTTTCAAATTACGTAACAGAATTAAATAATATATCATATTCACACATAAACACATCTACCCCCC